GCCGTAAATCCCGGGGGGGACGGGGGGGACTGGACCCCCCCAAAAATCTGGAGCAAAACGATTTTTTGGAGAAATCACCATCATTTTCCTTGAAAGAAGGAAATCCCTGGTATCCGGGTTAGAACCAAACTACGTTTTTCTGTGTTATTGCAACAAACCTCAGCCACTAAGGTTATTTTTGTAAGCAGAGTGGTTTTTATAATTTTTACAAGATAAAAACTTACCGTTTTCTACCGTTTTTTACTTTTTTCTACCGTTTTATTCTTGAAAACAGAGAATGAAATAAAAAGAGAGCAATCTGTCATTTTATTTGACCTATTTACTAACTTATTTACGTACATTTCTATTATTTGTCTATTATTTACTTTTATTTAGTAGATCACTTTTTGTATCATTAAAATGTATTCATTTTTGATGTGTAAAAATGGCCTACACAATGTGTGACAATGGCCTAAAATGGCCTGAGAAACGTTGAACTTTCTATCCTGAGCAATTCTAGTATTTTATTAAATTTAGTCTGGGGGATGCTTTTTTAGCCTTTCTAGAAGGTAAAATTTAAAAAATTTTCTTCCGCGTCGGACCCAACCATGGTGGGTCCTCCTACGACAGTAAACTGGATTTTTTGCTCCCAAGGTTCAATTTCTTGGGGCCGTCTTTGAAAAATGTTATCCATCCAATCATACACAAAAAAGTACTAAGGAATATCTGTAAATACCTTCTATAGAGCAGGAAGTCTTGAGAAATCCAAAAATATTGACTTTTGTTTTTAAAGTAATTTGCCCCTTAACTGTTTCCATAACACATACCATAAATCCCTTGTGGTGCCTTGACCGACTGCATACTTTATATTCATTCGCTCTGCTGACCCCCCCAATTCACATGACAGATTTACGGCCCTGTCCTTAACAGAGACCCATTTAACAGATAGGATCGATGATTGTGAACTTCATATCGATGGGTATGAAATAAAACGCAGTGATAGAAAGGATAGAGAGGGAGTTGGAGTTGCAATCTACTTCGAAGATAACTTAAATATTGTTGAAAAATACCACAGAGAGAACATAGAAGCTATATGGGTAGAATTGTCACTATGCTCACAGAAGATGCTTATTGGTACAATTTATAGGCCACCTGATAGAGATGATTTCTATACACTGTTTCCCCCAGAATTAGAGCAAATATGGCAAACAAGGAAGAATTTACTGATCATTGGAGATCTGAACTCTGATCTAACACCAAATGGTATGAATGATAAGGGAAGGAGATTAAAAACGATACTAAATAATTACAACCTTAAAAACATGATCAAAGATCCCACAAGTGTAACTGAGACAACAAAGACTGTATTAGATCTTGTTATAGTTAATGACGCATCCAAGTTGGTAATTAGTGGTGTCCAAGACATCTGCATAGCAGATCATAAATTGGTCTATGTAAAGTACACCCTAAAGAGAAGTAAAGAAACTCCTAAGGAAGGCTGAAGTCAGATATTGGAGAGAGCAGTTTAGTGAAGTAACTTGCAAGCAAGATTTCTGGAAGTTTTATAGCGAAGTAACCAATAAGAGAAAAAGAACGAAAATAATGTATATAGAATAACTCCCACAGCACAATATCCAAGCTACGACAGAGAAGTTCTCTTGAAGCAGTTAAGGAAAATAAGTCCGCATAAAGCGTCAGGGCCTGATTCAGTTACCAGCAGAGAACTGAAAATACTTCAAGGTAGCATTGTAAACAGCCTAGAGATTATTTTCAAATCAAGTTTCCAGCAGAGTGTATTTCCAAGATGCTGGAAGATAACATGGATTAAATCTTCTTTCAAGAAAAGGAAAGAAACAAGAGAGAACAAATTACAGGCCTCTCTCAATGCTGTCCATCCCATCTAAGCTACTAGAGAGCCAAATCTGCAACACTGTCGATAGCCATTTAGACGATAACAACATTGTGACTGACATGCAGTGGGGATTCGCCAAAAGAAAATCTACGGAGGGTATCCTCTTAAAAATGACCGAGTCATGGAAACAATCAGTTGATAACGGTTTGATTGTTGGTGTGGTGTTTATAGACTTCCAAAAAGCTTTCGATACGGTTTCCCATGAAATTTTGTCGTATAAATTGCAAGCAGCTGGAATCTCTGGAAATTTACACGCATTGATTATGAATTATCTTACAGACAGGACTCAATATGCTGAGATTAATGGTGAGTGCAGATCAACAAAACATGTTAGGTTTGGTGTTCCCCAAGGATCTTTACTAGGCCCTAAGCTGTATAGTTTACATGTCAATGACTTACCATCTGCAATAACGCAAGGTGAAATGTATCTCTTTGCAGATGATACAACCGTTTATTGCACAGGCAAAGACTTGGAAAGTGTTGTAGACACATTAAACAGCAGAATGGATGAATTACATAGTTGGTGCATATGGAACAAGTTGAAAGTATATCCAGGAAAATACTTTGCAGCGATGCTAATACACAATCTAACTCGAAACTTAAGTAATGAAGAGAGCCTTGCAAGAGCAAATTGGCAGCCAATCTCGGAGGCTGCTCACATTAACGCACCAGATATACTTTGGATCAGCTGATCAATCTATTGCATAGATGTTTCAGAAGAAAGACCCGGAAAAACAAAGAACAAGAAATAAACTCCAGTTCGAAAAGATATAATACAAAGACTGGCAGAAATAGTTTCACATACAAGGCAACAATGATTTGGAATTCTATCTCAGACCACTTTAAGGACGCAAAAATGTACAAACTTTCAAAACAAGACTAAAAAAGGTGCGTCAGACAATAAATGACTTCACTTTTCAAAAAGGATTAACTGGATTTTTAAACAAAGAGAATGATTTTAAATATTACTAGACTGCTAGTAAACAATTTTTAAATTTTTTTATTTTTTACACGATGTAATAATTATTTCCTTTAGCCTTTAATTTATAGCAGGTCACATCCAATTTATAGCCCTTTTGAGTTGCCAGACTTTCTAACCTGCTTTAAAAAATGAAAAATGTATGTATGCAGGAAACTTTGTTTTTCTTCTAAGAAGGGAGAGAATGGCATTGGGACTCGATTGATAAAGTATGCTGCTTGCCTATATGACAATGATGGGTTAGTTGCTATGACATTAATGAAGATGAAGGGGACTTTCAAATGAACTTCATGCACCCACATGAACCCACTCAGAACTTTAAATGATCAAGCCGATCAGACATATGATGGGTATCACATTTACATGCTTTGCAAAACTGATTCATCCAAAACAATTACAGGTCAAACTTAGAGCTTCAGCTACAGTGACTATAAAGCAGCATCTCAGCTTTTCCAGGACTAGGGATCATTTTTAATTATTCTTTGTTGTCTCTAAATGGGAAATCATGATTGATTCAATGTTTATAGCAGCTATTTTTATTTCATGCAATATTACCTTAAATACAAATTTGTTTTTGCTCACGATTCTTGCAAAATTTTACCCATTTTGTAAGGTGCAATTAACTCAAAATACTTCAATTGCAATTGTAATCTTAAATATTTTCTGATAGCCCAAAGAATACACTTTCAGAATATAGCAAGCTTCTAATGCTATCATTCCAGTTAGAGGACTTTTTTTCAATATTTATATGCATCAGTTGGGAATATTTTCAAAACAAGTGAAAACCTTTAACATATGACTATCTGCTTCACCTTAGAGAATTGACAAATTCTGATGCAATATTTGAAATCTACAGTATCAAACCAATAATTGACATTATTTTCAAGCAAATATAACTGCAATAGCTGAAACTATAGAAAAGTTACAGCTATTGAAAGAAAGCCGTGACCATCGCTTGGTAAACTGGGTGTGGCATATTTGGCTAAAATGGGTCACTTTTGAAACGGCTACAAAATCGCAAAAGTAAGAGATATAGGGATGAAATTTTGTATGTGGTGTTTTCTCCAAAATCGCTTTTTGTGGCAAAAAAATCAGAAAATTCTAAGACCATAGTACATGGGTCTGATGATTTGACATGGAATGACCCATCAGAAAATGCTTTGATATCATGTTCTATAGACAAAGCATGAGAAATCATGTTTAAAGGGGTATTTCTGAGGTGGGGGACTACTTTTGTCTTTTTCAGCAAATCGAATTGTGTAGGTTCGGCAAGTTCCATGGCTTTACAGCTAACAGAAATAGATTGACCAAACTAACGTAATTTGAGTACTGGGCACAAGTACCCCAGTCTAAAAATAGCACAAGGGGTATTTCTGAGGGTGGGGACCATTTTTATCATTTTCAGCAAGTCAAATTGTGTCGGTTTGCCAAGTTTCATGGCTGTATAGTTAACAGAAATAGATTGACCATACCAACATATTCTTAGTACCGGGCACAAGTACACCAGGCTAAAAATAGCACAACGGTTTTTTTCCCAAAATGGGTCAATATTCTATCTTGTTACGCATATCGAATTCTGTATTTTGACCAAGTTTCATGCTTTTATCGCAATTTTCACGATTGTTACCTGTCATGAACCTTATCAAACTCACTACTACATTACATCAAAACATCTTTTCATGTCCACCACTTTACGTCACAAGGTCACGTCACACAGTGGTCTGACCGCGTTCTCGCTCCGAAATTTAGACTTTAAAAACTTAATAACTTAAAAAGTACGTAACGTATTTAAAAGATTCAAACGGTTTTGGAATCAGCACGGGAACCTTTATCAGTGGTAAAAAAATCGTTTTTCACTTCAGTTCCCCTTTAAGTAAGCAAATAAAGAAAATATTGTCCAATTTTCTTGGGAAATCTCTAGAATACAGTTGAAGCAAAATCAAATTTAGAAAAAAGCCACATTGAAAACATTCGAGCTTCAAAATCTTGTTAAAATGTAAAATATCAGGTTAACCTGTCAAAATTATCTGCTTCTCATACAAAAAGGGGGTAATAAATCGTGAAATAAACATATCATACGAAACTTTAAGATAAAAACTTATTGATTTAGGCATATGACCGAAAGTGTACCTTTATCTGTCAGCACTTCTCTCTGCCTTCTCTTGACTTCTCTTGAACCAGAAAGTCTCGAGAATAGAAGGCGTTTTATATTTGCTTCTGCCGGGGGTTGTTGAAGCCTTTGCAAAGAATACAATTCGGACAAATAGCTATATAGATACCAGATGCAATTGTTTTAACAGACTAACCCCAACAACCTGGCTGTTCCCTTTATCAAGTGGCACACAGTGGGCACACAGAAAATAACCTGGCTTGTAAAAGAATTAAGAAAGGGTGTTTTGTGGCTTCAAATTAAAATTGATAATTTGTATAGTCTTTTAAGGTTTTTGGAAGTTTCGCTTGTCTGTCTTCAAAGTAAAAACAGCTTTTCTAAATAGCAGCACACCTGGCATGCCAAATTATCGTTCTTTGTTTATATGAAATACTTCCAAAGGTGTAAAAATTGTCAATTATTCCAAAAGCCAAATGAGATATTGCCAAAGAAGGAATTCAAGTTTGCTAACGAATCATGGTTATTTTCGCTTTGTTCATAAAGTTATGAACAGAGACCCAAATACAGAGGTTTGGTAGGAAAAGTCTGAATACACATGTGGCTACACTTCAGCCAATTCGTAACACATTTGACTGATTATACATATTTGGAGGTATTTCATGATGCTCTCTAAGGTTATAGGATTCAAATTCAACAAATCTAAAAATACAATTTTGTGACGTCATCACTCTGGGCTCTGATTCGCTTTAAGCTAGATTTTTTCCTCTTCCCAGTTACCTGTTTTTCATGTCTGTATCTTGGGTGAATGTTCTGCGTCACGGCTGCACTCTTTTCAAAACTAATTGCTACGCCCTTTTTGAAATTATAGAAACTTGGCGCTGGTATTGCACAACAAATTTCTTTGGCCAAATCCTTTCTTTTTGTGCAGCGTAATTTGCTTTGAACTATGAACCAAATGCTTTCTTTGCATTATCCAATTTTATTGGATTCAGGGGGGTATATGTAATTCTCGGAAAATATTTTGCAGGCAAATTTCAGTTGCAAGGTCAATAACGCGGACAGTTAAATCTCTGTATTAACAGGAAAGTTTCATATGTCATTTTTTTACTCTCCACCTTTCTTTCATTTCAAAGTAAACAAAGAAAGTGAAGTATGCAAACTGGAGTATCAAAAAAAGTGGAGTATCAAAAATAATCAATCCAATCGCGTTTTTTGTTGCTGTTCGAATTGCTAAGGCCAAAAACGATAGGCCTTAAATCTTTTGGTCACGAAAACATTTTGAATAATAAAATGATATGGTAAACTAAAAATTTCACTAAGGAAGGGTCTCCCCAGAGTTTTATGGACAAAGGAAAACAAGGGAACAGATGGTAGAGGAACACGGGAACACGGAAAAAAGGGAACGTCAGTTTTCAATAAAATCTAATACATTTGATTTTCCTTTTTGCAAACTGTAAAAAAACCGTCCCTGCCCCATGTAAACTTATCCCAGTCGCCGTCAGAGATCGGTAGGACACTTGCGATAGAGCATATTATTATCAAGATCTATATAATCTAAATATTTACACTTTCTACGTGAAAATTTTAATGATTTGATCAAAGATTGTTTATAGAGCTTCATAAATCGTGCAATGCCATTGCAAGACACAAGGGACAAGCAAAGGATAGGCGACGGTTTCCGTTTAAATGTAAAGGAAAAGCTAAATTATGGAAATTGTGTAAATCGCAGCCTGATAGTCTAAACAACATGAAATTTTCGGCACAGTTTAATTTCAACATGAAAATTCGATATCTTCAATCAATGTTTGGCAAATGAGAAGAAATGATTGACTGGAACAAGGGATTATGTCAAAGGGAGTTAAAGGGCCCTGGACCAAGATCATCTTAAACTGTCAATACACCTATATTCCCTATAAGAGCAAACTTTCTAAATGCATCAAGACAATCTGCATAAAAATAAAACAACAAGGAATAACATGAGCAGCCCCTGTTTTTTATTTTCATCTACAAGGAAAGATCCGTGTTGACAATTTAATCTTAAGTAAGCAAAGAAAGCAAATATTGTCCACTTTTCTTGGGAAATCTCTAGTATACAGTTGAAGCAAAATCAAATTTAGAAAAACGCAACATTAAAAATATTCGAGCTTCAAAATCTTGTTAAAATGTAAAATATCGGGTTAATCAGTCAAAATTATCTGCTTCTCATACAAAAAGGGGGTAATAAATCGTGAAATAAACATATCATACGGAATTTTAAGATAAAAACTTATTGATTTAGGCATATTACCGAAAGTGTACCTTTATCTGTCAGCACTTCTCTCTGCCTTCTCTTGACTTCTCTTGAACCAGAAAGTCTCGAGAATAGAAGGCGTTTTATATTTGCTTCTGCCGGGGGTTGTTGAAGCCTTTGCAAAGAAGACAATGCGGACAAATAGCCATAGAGATACAACATGCAACTGAAAGACTAACCCCAACAACCTGGCTCTTCCCCTTACCAAATTGTACGCAGAAATAACCAGGTCTGTGAAAGGATAGGTAAGCGTGTTTTGTGGCTTGAAATTCGAATTTATAATTTTTATGGTCTCTTTACGTTTTTGGAAGTTTCGTTTGTCTGTCTCCAAAGCAGAGATGTGCATAGACAATTTTGTTGCGGGGGGGGGGGGGGGGTGCGTTCAGAAAAAAATTGACCAATTTTTCTTGTTTGACCGACTATTTCTCCATAGAAAATTCATTAACAATAAAATAGATGATGATATATACACTCAATGACAATAATTAAGAGCAGATGATGGCATGAAAGTATAAAGAAATTAAGTTTCCGGAAACTAATATTCCTGGAATTTGTGATTTTTGGGTGAATCCATGAGCATCTTTTTGCGAAAAGCAAATTTTAAGGATGCAAAACCGAACTACAGCTTCTTTTGAGCTCCTCATAACAATAGTTTCAGCTTATAAAATTTCCTCTAATCTATAGAATTTGATAAGAATTGAAGGGCAAATATGGCTGGAAAGCCCCCGAGATTTCAGAGGCTCCCCAGGGGGCAAAGTGGGAAGACGATGCCCCTGCGAGCGGAGCAAGCAGAAAATGCGAGAACAACCTTCAGATTAGCTAAAAATGCATCTCAAAAAACTCATTTTATTTATTTCTTGCAGTCACTTCTTATAGTCACTAGCTTGCTCCTTATAGCAAGTTATTTGCGATACACTCTTTTCTTGTACAAACCAGTGAATTTGAGTTTAGGCTGACTGTTCTTGAGTTTTTCGAAAATCTGAGGCTTGGTTGTTCTTAATTTATTCCTAATCTAGTAAGGTGTAAGCAGTGCGAGTGCTAGCTTTTTCGCTCAAGGGAGGTGTTCAGCCTTTATTTGCCAACAAAGTGAGTGAGACAACCTTCATTTTCCGACAAGTTTGAATATTCACCGAAAAAGCATCTAAATATGGCTAAAAGTCCTCGTTTTTTAGATAAAAAGTTGTTCAAAATTACATTTTACAATAGCTCAGCCTCAGCTTGTTTTTAACTTTTGACCAATGTCCAACCATGACCAATAAAATTAATGAAATAAAGGTCCAAATTTGGTCAAACTTAATAATTAATGTTAAGGTTCCCGCTGCATGACCAACTTGCTTGAAGTTTGCAGACATTGGGGGGGGGGACGCCCCACGCCCCTTAATCGGCACATCTCTGCTCCAAAGTAAAAACATCTTTTCTAAATAGCAGCACACCAGGCATGCCAAATTATCGTTCTTAGTTTATTAGATTTTAGCGCCAAAGATTTTGGAAGAATTGGGAATCGTGCATGGACAAATGTAAGCAGAAAAGGCACTTACGCGAGAAAGAAACCGAGCGGCGATTCACTCTTGCAAATAGAGTACAAGATTTTCCCTAAAACAAAAGGATTTCCAAAGATTTTTAGATAAAACAATAGGATTTTCACAAAAGGTGTACGATATTTTTTTCGAGTGATTTGCCCTTCGGAAAAAACAACTTTTCTTTCCTTTATGTAATAGAAACAACCTTTTTACCCTAACCCAGTTAACTGTTTTCCATGTTTGGATCTTGGGCACAGAATCTCTATTCTGTGTTTTGGGTAACTGTTCTGCGTCACAACTGCACTCTTTTCAGAACTAATTGCTACGCCCTTTTTGAAATTATAGGAACTTGGCGCTGGTATTGAACAACAAATTTCTTTGGCCAAATCCTTACTTTTTGTGCAGCGTAATTCGCTTTGAACTATGAACCAAATGCTTTCTTTGCATTATCCAATTTCATTGGATTCAGGGGGGTATGTGTAATTCTTGGAAAATATTTTGCAGGCCAATTTCAGTTGCAAGGTCAATAATGCGGACAGTTAAATCTCTGTATTAACAGGAAAGTTTCATTTTTGTCATTTTTTCATGTCATTTTTTCACTCTCCACCTTTCTGTCGATCATTTCATTTCAAACTTTTTGGTTTCCTTTGTAAGATAAACAAAGGTGGAGTGTCAAAAATAATCTATACAATCGCGTTCTTTGCTGCTGTTCGAATTGCTAAGGCCAAAAACGATAGGCCTTATAGTTTTTTGGTCACGAAAACATTTTGAATTAGGCAATTATAGTTGTCATTTTGGGTTCTGTCTAGCGCACCTTGGAGTGCTTTGTCTTTTTACTCAAAACTATTAGTTGAATGTGGTGGTCTCTTCATTCAAAGTCTCGAAGATGTGTTGCTCAATGCCAAGAAGCGATACAATGTAAAATAAAGAGATATGGTAAACTAAAAGTTTCACAAGGAAGGGTCTCTCCAGATTTTTATGGACGAAGGAGAGCAAGGGAACAGATGGTAGAGGAACACGGGAACACAAAATTCTAACTAGGAACAAAGGGAAAAAATCAACAGTTTTAGGGAAAAATAGGGGAACGTTGGTTTTCAATAAAATCTAATACGTTTGATTTTACTTTTTGCAAACTGTAAAAAGCCGTCCCTGTCCCATGCAAACATTTCCCAGTCAGCATTTGTAGTTATGGCGAACCAAATTATTAGTCTGTCGGGAATTTTTCGAAAAGGCAGCAATTTGCCCTTTCGGCGCTGAGTTCGACAAAAATAATAAACAAAATTTGGAAAAGCAAAACTGGTTATATATATACAAATACAA